GCGATCGTAGTCGTATTATGCCCTCGCCGTCGAGTAGCGTTGATAATTTCATAAGGCGGCTAGAGGGGGGAAAGGGGGTCCCCCTCATGAGGGCGTTGATTTCCTCGGTGAACGCCTCTTCCTGTTGTGCTCGTATCCACAGCGACTCGGCGTGGCGTAGATATGATGCGTCGATCGTTTTAAATTTGTGTAAAACTTGCTTTCCACGCGCAGCCTCGGAAGTATTCGTCTTCTTGCTTTCTGTATTATTTTTTCGCCAAGTAGGGTCGGCGTCGGCATTTTTCCTCGTTCTCTTCCTTAAAGCGGCACATCGTTGTGTGCGCGTCCGTAGCCTGTCTATGAACTGTAGTACGCGCGCTGTGGTCCGCATGAGGCGTATCCAACTTGAGAAACGAGTTACTACGGGTAGAGCTTCCTTCAGTCGCGCGCCGACGCCTGTGGTGAGGTGGACCCGTTCTTCATCCGTGACGTTGACGTCCGTGACTTCCTCTTGAGGCCAATTTTCTTCCGACATATATAGAAAGTCCGGCCCCCTGTACCATCGATGATTAGAGTCGAAGTCGTGTGGCACGTCGCGGGTGGCGTCGTCTGCGACGTTCATTTTGGTGGGTATCCATCTCCATTCTTTCGTTTTAGTGTGTTCAGCGATCTCCGCCACTCTATGCGCTACGAACGGTTTATAAACTCGCGGTCCGTTGCGTATCCAGGTCAGCACCGTGCGGGAATCTGTCCAGTAGTAGCGGCTCGTCGGTTTAAATTGATGCTCGTCGACGACGGTCTGTGTAAGACGGCAACCCAGCACGGCAGCTTGCAGCTCTAGTCGTGGTATGGAGATCACCTTCAACGGAGCTACTTTCCCCTTGCCGATGATGAGTGAGACGTGTATGTTGCCATCTTCGTCTTCTACACGCCAATAGGTGACGGCCGCGTATGCCGTTGAACTTGCGTCCACGAATGTGTGTAACTGGATGCCGCGCGCGTGACTAAGTTTCATATAGCAGCGCGGTACTTTTATCTTGGCGAGTCGTCGTACATCTTCCAGCCATCTGCTCCAGGCGTCCGCTTCGGGCGCTTCTAACGGGGTGTCCCAATCGATGCCCGAGCGCCACGTGTCTTGTATGATGCGCTTCGCTTGTATGGTGACTGGAGTGGCGATGCCCAATGGATCAAATATGGACATCGCAGTGCGTAGCGCCTCCCTTTTAGTTGGTGTTCTTGCCCCGTTGTATACTTCCGCCGGTGTTTTGTGAGTGTTGATGTTGAAAGACAGGGTGTCTTCCTCTGGTTGCCACACCATGCCCAGTATTTTCGTGCTGTCCAGTTGTAGTATGTCGCCTTTCGATCCCGGTGACAGCGTGCTTAGTACTCGGCGCGAGTTAGATGCCCAACGTTGCAGGAAGTAGTTCGCGCGGCTGTGTATGTACGCAACTTGTGTGGATATGCGTACGGCCGCTCCTTCGTCGTCAAAACTCGCTAGGTAGTCGTCGACGTAATGGTTGTCGATGATTGCCGCTGTCGCCTCGGGGTACTGAGAACGAAAGTGTTCCGCGTTCTTGTCCTTTACGTAGATAGCAGTACAGGGAGATGATGTGGCGCCGAATATGACACTCTTCATACGGTACTCGGTCGGTTGGCGATCTCGGTCGTCTCCTCTCCACAGGAAGCGTTGCATGTCTCTATCTTCCTCTCGTATGGTCACACGAAGAAACATGTCTCTGATGTCGGCTGCTACCGCTACTGGTCGCTGACGGAACTTCATCAACACGCCGGGCAGGGATTGTATTAAGTCCGGGCCTGGTAGTAGCATGTCGTTCAGGCTGACTCCTTTGGCTTTGGCAGCGGCGTCGTGGACCAATCTGAGCTTCTCTGGCTTCTGTGGATTGATGACGGCGAAATGGGGTAAATACCAAGTCTTCGGGTTCTTATGGGGTGGCGCTATTTCTGCGTAGTCGTTGTCGAACAGTGTTTGTAACTGTTTTTCGTATCTCTTTTTCAGTACCTCGTCGCGGTCGAGTTTCTTTTCAACTAGTTCCAATCTTCTTAACGCCACGTCGTAGCTGTCAGGTGGACGAACGTGCTCGTTACGCCATAGAAGACCGGTTTCAAAGCCTCCCGCCGGTAAACGGCGGGTTTTATCTTCTAGTTGTTGCAGTGCTCGTCGCTCGTCGTCGTTGTGGCTGCGTCTCGGTGTGACAGCCAATGACTCGAGGCTGAAGTGTTCCCTCATCATCTGCTCCATGGACTCTTCATCATCAGGGGCGACAGCGTGGAGTACTTTGTGGGTGTTGACTCTTTCACTCGATCTCTTAGTGCCGTGTAGAACCCAACCTAAATCGGTGAGTGTTGCGATCGGTTGGTGTCGGTCCCCTTGTCGCACGGCATGTGTGAGTAAAAGATGCCAGTTGTCTTGACCCAGCAGTATCGTAGGTGATCCCTCTTCGTAGATGAGATGCTCTTCTAAGTCGTGCAGGTGGGGGCAAGCTCGTATGACGTTACGTGGCACTGCTTGCGGCGATAGCTTCAAGTTGTTCATGGTGCGGGCTGTTATTGTATGCTCATTCGTGTCGCGCCCGCGCAGAGAAATGCGTACTTGTTGCGATTCGCCAACGTTAATTCGCGTGCCGGCTACACCCTCAATGTAAAAGGGTGCTGGTGTACCCGCTGCGCCGATCCTTCTTGCTAGCGCCGCCTCAATCAGGCTGCACGTTGACCCGTCGTCCAGTAGTGCGAGTGCGTTGCACGTACCCTTGGGGCCCCTCACTTGCACAGGGAGTACCTTCAGTAGCGCGGTGGTGTTGCTTCTGTCTTTTGCTGATGCCACAACAAATGATGCAGGAGCTTCTTTCTTCTCCTTTGATGAGGGTGGAGTGCCATGCAGCAGTGAATGATGCATGTACTCGCAACCGTCGATGCCGCACCTCTTGTTCTTACACGTATGGCGAAATTTGCGTGTCCGTAAACAGCGGAAACATAGCCTATGTTTGCGTGCTATGTCCCACCTGGCGGCTACATCTGCTGTCTTCATTTCGTCGCATTGCGCCACATGATGACCCGTCTTGTCGCAAATAGGACACGTAGTAACTTGTTCGTGCTCGGCTGGCTTCGCTATTTGAGTGTGGTAGCTCTTCATGGGTCTCCTGCCTGCTGGCTCCCGCCGGTCTTCCACAGGTGTGTTCTCGACGGGCGCGTAGCTCCCACAACGTGCAGCTGTGCGTTGCATGAACTCGGTCAGGGTTACTAGGTCAGGTTGGTATTCTGGCTGTTCCGCAGCAAAGTCATAGTATCGATAGCGCAATGCTGAAGGCAGCTTCTCAACCACGGCGCGCACTATCTCGGCATTGTGTAGATAATGCGGTCTGTTTAGCGCCTTCAATGTGGCCGTGACGTTGATGATCTTCGATGCGAAGTTGCAGATGTCTCTCGGATGTTCGCCCAGACGTGGAAGGGTGCGTAGCTTACTCAGTTCGGCCAGTGCGAGCGCGTCCGAACGACCGAACCTTGATGTCAGTAAGCTCATTACTTCGTGGGAGGACGTGGCTCCGACGAATAAACATTGAGCTGCTTCCCTAGCGGTGCCTTTCAAGCTCCTCCGGAGCCTCGCCAGGTTCTCTTGTTCTGTAAGCAGTCCTGCAGATTCTTCATAGGCTGTCTTGAACGGCAGCCAGTCGCTTGACGAACCGTTGAATATGGGTAATTCTTGAAGTCTTGCAGTAGTGGGTTGAATCGCTCGTGCCGCAGTAGTGATCGCCGTTGCTAACTTTTCATAACATATGTCGTTCGGCGGCTTATGTTCCAGGTGGCCGTCGTTGTTACGATAGTATTGCGGCTGTTGTCTCTCACTTGTGTGCGTGACGTATGTAGAGGGGGGCGCTCCCCCCGCGTAGTTGGTGGGGGGGCACCTGGTCCCAGCTGTCGCAGGTGCCGCGTACGTGGAGATTTTTTCCTGGCGAATGACGTCGCGCGTCGGCGGCGGCGCCTGTGATTCGGCAGGTCTTCCCTTCAATATATCTTCCTTCGTACGTGTGGCGGCAGTGTAGTCTTCCTGCTCTTCTCTTCTCAACCCAATAGTGCTTGTGCGAATCCACTCCGATGTGCGTTCTTCGCGGATCGTGGCTTCCTCCGGTTCGTCTACGTCCGATTCCTCTTCCATTGCCGCGATCTTTGCAGATATTAAATCGATTTTCAGCTTCAATAATTCTTGTTGCGCTTCCGCTAGCTGCTTACGACGACTGTTCGAAGAACCGGATCGAAAAGATCGAACAGATTTAGGAGAGCATATTCTCCGTGGTGCTTCGCTTGTAGTGGCGCCGGCTTCGGGTCTCTCTACTAGTTGGGAGACTGGCGAGGTGGCAGTCGGCGCCGCGTCGATTTGTCTGATCGTCGCGTCGGTTTCCACAGTTGCACCGGTTGTACGTGTGGCGTACGTGGAGCGCGTGTGTTCTGAAGTTGTAGCGGTCTTTTCGGTCCCCGTGATCGTGTCAGTGCCCGTCGAACAGGTTGGAGCAGTGGACGAGGATTCTTGGGTATTCACGGGGTATGATTTTGCGCTTCTGGTAACTGGCATTGTTCTTTCTTGATGTAATCCGGCTGCTGAAGGACCAGAAAATGTGGGGGCGGATTGTGAGAAAAAACGCCTGGTTGTAAATTGAGCTTCTTGTTCTGGGTTTTGCTTGGAGTCTGTAGGGTTCTCCCGTCCCGCTCCTGCATTGGTGCCGTCCCGCTCGCACACTTGAATAGAATGCGAGCAGCACGGCGGGCCAGCGATGATATAAAAAGCGGAGCGTTGGGAGCGGAACGACATTCCAAAATTGACTGCACAAGACTCCGAAGGCGTTCCAAATCTCTCCGCGATCCAAGCAAAACCAAGAACAAGAAGCTCAATTTACAACCAGGCGTTTTTTCTCACAATCCGCCCCCACAGTATGTCATATTACTTTTGTGTACATCAATTTGATAATATTATTTGTAATATAATTTGTAAATAAACACTATTGCCTCACCATAGGGTTTCTCGAGACGGCCTCCCCCTGACACCATCTCCATGACCTCGCGGTTGGCGCAGCCGGTGTACGGCATCACACCGAGGGAAAACACTTCCCATAGCAGCACTCCGAAAGACCTATTAAAATGTTATATTAAGTCATGTTTCATTCAGTTGCGAAACAAACTAAATACATTAGAAAACAATAACGTACTTCTACAAACAACAATTGTTACAATTGGTAGTACACTTAAAAAAATAGCTAAATTTATAACGAATCACAACACTATATCATTTCGATTACGAGAAAAAGACGAAAAAAAGGAGATATCTAGCTCATACTCATTCTGTACAATAGTAAATAAAAGCTAAAACAAACTTTTACGAAATTATCCTTACATGACACTGAGTCGATCTGTACTAAAAAAATTATTAATCAATTTTATTCAGTTTTACAACCCACGTTTTCGAAAAACAGTTTTCCTGTATCTCCTTTAGTTTCGGATTTCCTCATAATGTCCCAGTTAAAAAAAACACACTGTATATTAATTTGTGATCATTCTTGTGACATCAGTATATTCGTTGATAGGTGTCATACTTAATACTATCAGTTTTTTAAATGATCTATTCGATTGATTTTGTTACGTGATAATATGTGAATCGGTTTTGAGCATTCTTTTTTTTTGCTGGAAAGAGGGTACCTTTGTATTGGCCCCATTTAAATTTGAAAAAAATATTCCACCTCTAAGGGTGGCAAACTAGAGGATGAATCCGGTTTTGCGCACTTTCCGGTAACCGATTTCAATAAAACTTGGCAAATAGATATAATTCGAAGAACTTATGAGATCGGTTGTTTCTTTATAAAAAGTTATATAGTATAGTTTTTTTAAATCTTCATTTAATTTTAGAACTTTTGATCTAGGCAACATTCCACACAACAGTCCTACCATAACCTTATTCTAATTGTCATGCAATTTACAGTAAACATAATTATTTATATTATTACATTAAAAGTTAACGTTAACTATCGCCAATTTACCATGTCACACAACATTTTTGTAAATTTTGACGGTTCTGATAGAATCCCTTGGAAGAAGTTGACATTGGAGCGGTTCAATTGTAATAGAAATATGAGTAGTTACGCACATTAAAAGGAAAATTGTTTTAGCGCGACCTTGTTTGTGTTTTTGGGTTCTCCTGTAAAATTGTATCTAAAGCATTTAATAGATTTTGTTATGGAGCAGTCGTAGTAGGTGTGTACGAATTGTTTTTAAGTTGTGCATTAAATGTGTTCCAATAATATATTCCTTACAATAGAATTGTTTAACAAAAATAAGCCCCGTGCTCGTGTTAGTATGTCCTGTGTTACAGATACAAGTGGACTGCTCTAGCTCTGTTGTAGTTAAAATAATGATATTATAAGTAATTATATAATATGTTGTGAGTACTTAAAAGTGGCACAGTGTTGGAATGGGACAGAAAACCAGTATAAACAACTGTGATATACTACGTGGTATAATTAGTGCGGAGTAAACTTTCCTAATTTTTTTAATATAAATCATAAAAATTATTCTCTGAGCACTATAACTTTACTATCTATTCTGAGCGTTCGATCTTTGTATTAATAATTATAACAAACTAGTGGAGTAATTTCACAAAAAATAATTGAATATCAATTCAATAAAAAATTAAAACTGTATCTTTAGTTTCTTGAAGGAGATAATAGGCATTATTTAGGTCAGCATACTCCATCGTCGATCTTTTCGTCACTTTCAATGGGATTGAGATAAAATGCGCACTTTTTTAATAACAACATAAATAAAAATATAGGAGAAAATTTTGAAAAAATATTCAGAAAATTATTTTTATTTTATGACAACACTAGACACAGGGCGCACTGTAAGTGCGCCTCGCGTACATTACACATAACGATACCTCCAATGAATTTGATTTAATTGTTGTGTAAGAATTTTGTGGAAAAAAAAGAAACAATAAATAAATTTAAAACAGGATAGGTACAAAAATTAAGTTGGTGTAGTGTACTTTGGAGGTATCGAGAAGAAAGACAGAGTTCCGGCACAAACAGAAAAGTAAGATAAATATTTAAGTTTTTTACACATTTGAAGTATACAGGTTTCTGAGGCTGAAAAAAAAAACCAATTATTTGCAATTAGGGGCGCCATCAAATTCGACGATTAAAGAAGCAGTGCAGTGGCGCCACTGTACCATTGCAGCCGCGCCACTACTAATTTTCATACAATATTTTCGATTAAATTACAGGCACAATCTGGGACTTGTGAACTTATATCTCAGGGTACAGTGGCTGTGCCCCACAGATCTTTGCTATTTAAAGCTCTGCGTGGCACTGCAACTGTGTAGCTTAGTAGCCATTAGGCGCACGACTTGTTCGTCCCGTCACTAGATATTATAAAAAATATATAAAAAAAAACCTTAAATTAAAGACAATTCAACGATCACCAAATCTACAATGATTCACATTTATTCTGAAACAAATACTTTTTTCACACATACGCATCTGCAAATGCAGATTTCAACGATGAAAAAATCCATTCGCGTCCGTATCTCCAGATATCGTCATAACCCACACTTGTAGCATACCAGGGGGTCGATTCAGAACGTTACGATAACTCAGT